ATTCTTATATAGATTTCTCTATTAAGCCTGGCATATATAAAGGTATTTGTAACGTTGTATTAAATTAACTCTAGGTTAAATCGTGCAGATATTACCATGAGCATGTGAAATAATCGCCCTACTAGTGTTATAGCATAAGTTTCTTATAAGGTAAGGTGTCGCTATTAATTACCTCTTACCACTAGCCTTACCTTACACTTCTATAATTAATAGTGCTTATTAAACTTATATGTATATACCTACATATAGTTAAGGATTTAATAACCTACTACCTTTACTAGAACCATAGCAACTTCACTCCAAGACCTCATCTCCTTATGGCTCTATAGATGGGATTGCTCAGCTTCCTTCCACCTATCGTAGAGAGGGTGGTCCTTAAGCTTATTTTAACTTTTGGGTGGCTCTAGCAGCACGCTCTAGTATGGTTTCCTACCTACTATAATTATTCGTCGAAGCTGCGCCTTATCAAGAACCTTGCTATTATATTTGCCGGCACTACCAGCTTTAGTACCTACCATAAACGTGGTAGCTATAGACTTGTCTATAATTACCCTATTTACACTACTAGACATAGTTTAGTTTCATTATCTCCTACCATTAATTGTGCAAGGAGTGTAACTAGTGGTAGTATTATTAGAGGTGTTGGATAATTATAACCAACCTTCTAGCCTTACCTATATCCTAGGACCTCTTTAGCGTCTTCCTCTAGTGTCTTAGTAATCGTCTCATCCTTATAGAACGAGTCTGTAATTTAATCCTAGTAAGGTAAGGAAGGTAGTTCTACTACTCATACCTAGGCTACTATCTCTTCTAGTGTGCTATACATAAGATTGTCTATAAGGTCTTTAGTCTTGCCTAAAAACACAGTGCGTTCGTTAAATATAACATTATGAGTGCTAATCGTCTTTACAAGTGATAGGATCCAGATCCTCTAGATGTTAGTTGATTAGTAGCCAACAAGGTATCCAATCCATGCTTTAGGGTCGAGCCTCTAAAGCTTACTCTTACCACATTTTATATCATTAGTCATCGCAAACGCTTTACAGCCATATACTTTTAGGTAAGCTTAATTAGGTTTCCTTAGTTGGGTGACGACGCCATTTTAAAAGGCTATTATCGTAAAGAACACTTCGTATGGTGACCGCTATCGATTCGCGTAATTTAGTGTTCGATTATAGAGGTAGACTGCCGCTCGCATAATCTCGGGCCACATTTACTAGGGCAGGTTCGAATTAAGGCGCATTGCGCGAGCTTTCTCCTTAATTACGCCCCCTAAGCATTCAGCCCCTCCATTTTATGCTTAGGTATCTAGTACTAAAGGCTCAATTCTGATACCTTATACTAAGCACCACTTCTCAACATCTACCTTAATGGAGAAGATCTCATTATCTGATTTAATGACTTTTACCGTGACGTCAAATTATACTTTTATGAATAGTATGAACATACTTAGAAGTTTAATAATTAAGCGTGCTGGGCGGTTATCCTTGAAGTAGAGGTCTCAAATGAAGCCAGAGAATCAATTAGTAACTAGCATTTGGCTCTTTTCCTTTATTAAGCTTTCTACTTCATAGTCATGGAAATCAATTATAATGCGTTCTCCAGGGCCGTCTATAATCTCTCTAGGCTATCGGCGTATTTGTCGTCTTAGTTTTACTTTGCCACAGGCGTCACACTTGGCCGTAGGGAGCCCCTTAATCCTTACCCCCTCAGATTACTAGACAAGGTGTTCAAGAGCCTAAGGGCCCAGGTGGCCTAATCGTTAATGCCAGATTAATGCATCTACCTTCTATAATTTTCGTCTAGTACTCGTGTTAAACCTATATGCTATAAGCGCAGTATTCGTATTAAAAGTGCAGACCACTAGGGCTTCTCTATATTCCAGCACCCATTGTCTATGCAACTCTTGAAGTTCTACTAGCACTATATTGTCTCTTCATTTAAGAGTTATAGGATCTGCCCTAGTATCCCACTAAAGGCCTTGCCTTTAGAGTAATCGGAACGATACTAGGTTATAGAGTAGGTCGGGGCAATAGGCAACATTATCTAGCTATATTATTTAATTGCCACTTATACTCTATACGTTGAGATGGACACTCCCATATCCCTTAATCCATACTTGTGTGTTCCCAGCCCATACGAAATCTCCTAGCGACGGTGCCCTGTACGAGACGAAGCGATCAATATTATTATAGATGTGGCAGGTTATACCTAAATCTAGGATAGCTAAGCATCGCAATAGGTACGTGTCTAGGTCGGTGTGGAAGGATGCAGCTTAAAAGACCGCTAGAATTTCAGTAATCTTGCGTCCATCTAGTCATTCATCATTAGCCTTAGTGATTTAAGTTGGAGTGGGAGTGTGTGATAGTTTAATCCTTATGGTTTGAGATCTTAGCCTTTTCACCATCCTTAAGCTTTCTTGTAGCTCTGGGTCATTCTCTAGCCTGAATTTCATCAGGGCAACCATACCAGGCCTTGGCTTAAACCATTCAGGTTGTTTTTCTAGGAAGGCGTAGAAGTAGTCTTGTAGACTATAGCGCTGTTCACAAGTAGGGCACTTAAGGCCACTAGCTACCGCTAGCTCATCATCTGTAATCATAGACCGCTTGGTTCTAGTACTTTGACCAACTGATCGTTGTTTATGAGGTCTTCCCTAGGATTTGAATGATGCTACTTCATCCACAAGAGAGGCGTCCCTGTCTGTGGCCTGGGTGGTTTCACCACCTTTAGCGAGAGATGATCCTGTAGTAGCAAAAGCGCCCTTTTGTTTACCCTTGATCGGGTGCTAAAGGATCATATGGTCTTAGAAGAGTTTCATTGTGTGCTTCCATGAGACAGCTGCATCCTTACTTCCGTATTGTTGGAAGGTCGTTACCCACATAGGTGTGACATGGACAACTGCTTTCATGAAGTCTTCTTTGACTGAGTCTAGCCTCTGAAGCTCTGGGACGCGATGGGTCTCTGCTTCTGTGGCTGCATAATCGTACTCAGTTAGCCACGTAGCCCAGGTTCCTGGGGTTCTCATTGGCTTAAGGGCTTCTTGATACCTTACCCTTACTTGTCGGTATTCGTCTTGATAGTCAACCCCAACTATAATTGTAAGGTTGTTAATCCATTGCTTTATAGTCTCTCTAGGGATGCAGCAGTTATTCTGCAGGTGTGCAGAGATCGTTGATTGAAGAAAAGTGACCACCTTATCAAGGTCTATCTTCTCTTCTTGGTAGGCTCGATCCATCATTTTGTAGATATCAAGCTATCCTTTATAATAGTCGCTATCATCCTTGTATGCTTTCGCACCTGCCGGCGATAGATAGGATGGCAATATTGGTGCATTGTTTGGGTTCGCATTCGCGTAGACGGCGTTCGGCTAGTAGTTACCTATCAACAGAGGCACCGGCATCGCGGGTTTCTGTTTTGGTTCATCTATCAGCGCTGGGTCAATGATACTCCAGACTTTCAGGAATTGGCATCTTGTCTTAAGCTGCTTCAGCCATGGCGTGTAGTTTGTATAGTCGGTCAGGATCACTGTAGGATCCCTAAGGGTCGATAGGGCCATCGTGATCGGCTTAATTGAGACAGTGAGACTCTTAATTATCAGATAATCGCGTAATGAGAATCGTCAAGTATCTAATGAAAAAGTGATAAATGATTGATTGAAGTGTGTCATGATAGTTTCTACAGAGTTTCTTGTTTTCTTGTTGAATGCCTTCCAAGCAAGGGAGAAACCGTTTTAGGAATAGGTATAGGTGCGCCAGCCACCTCGCAGATGACCATGTAATCGGACAATAAGTGCATGTGGACTTTATGGCTTGGCGCACTATCCTTGCTACCAATTTACCGACACAAATTGTCAGATCGTGCTACTTTAGACATGAAACTCAGAATATGGAGTCCCTCTAAAAATCTTGTGCAGAGGCTAATTATTGATGTCAGTAGCTCCAACCATACTGCTTAGTCCTTAGCAATAACCGCGCAACTGACCTCGTCGCGTCGGCCTTCCCCACCCTCTTCCCACTGTCCCAGTATAATACAGGGGGGCATACACGATGGGGCCAGATAGACCTTGTAGATAGAGCATGCGTCATGGCAACCTCCGTACGGAATGCTGTAAGTCTCACATCTGTCCCGGTGTGATGGGCCACCTGGTGTCACGAGCCACAAACCCTGGTACTCGTCTTCCAAATCTCCGTAAAGTTGCAGTGGGATGGAAAATCGCTTTATTTCTTATCAAGTACTAAAACTTTCGCAACTTTGGCCCATTATTACGGTATATCTCCAATGTCAAATATTACCTTTGCGTCGTCGCCTCGCATATGTTACAGACAGCATCTGTGACGATTTTAGGACCGTAGGTATCATGCAATGGAAAATATTGAAGGTTCACTGAAGTTGTATTACTGTGATTCTAACTGAACTATATAGATAGCCATAGTGAGGCGATCGTCAGGGGAGTTGGCCTATTCAGAGTTTCCTAATTCAGTAGCTGAATTATAACGATTGTCGCGATCCTCAGGAATCCATGAGGACTCGGTCCGAACACGATCGATAGTAACGTAGATTGAACTGCGACAGCATCTCATGAACGTTATCAGCCGAGGTCTCTGCCATCACACCACCATGGAGTTCTTGACATGTTCGATGACTGTATATTATAGAATATTGACTATATGACCTTATCATCAGGCTGGAAATTATTATCATCCTTGTGGCGACTGGCACGGGTTCATTCATGCAGCGACGCCACGTCGGTCGGTACTTCCTGATTAAGTTAGGGCAATATAAGCTTTGTCAGCCCTGAACAGCTCCTAGTATTTGGCCCAATTGGATGCCGGCATCGTTACCAGGATTGTTACAGAATCTAGACTCTAAAATCAGCAGTGTGTGGCTTGACTCTTGGACGAACCTATTCTTGGCTAAGGCCAAGAGTTCCCCACCTGCCAAGAGCACGAGTTGACGCTGTAACTTCTGAGGATGCCCAGGAGTTCGATCAATCTCCGCCCAACAATTCTCACAAACTGTACGGTCTTGCTCTTCGTCATCGATAGTGTCATTTCGCGCGGTGCTTCTGATACTCTTCCACAAACATAACTAGAGAATGGTCGTCTTATCTAGTCTGCAACACTTTCCGTCCTTTGCGGATGTTCGCTCTGGCCTCACGCATAAGACACGTCAATGCATCTGGTACCTACCCGGGAAACAGCGGTATTGTATGGTGCGCACGGAGGCATCAAAAATAGACTTAATTCTTGAGCTCACGAGCCAGCTGGACGATCGAAAATCGTGCACGTTGAGGATACTTTCGGAAATTGCAGAACTCAGTTGTTGTGCTCTTCATCATCGCAACAGGATCTGGGCCACTGGCCTAGCAAAGAGCTTGGCGCATCAATGGCAGCAGGGATTGCAGAGTGACCTATCTGAGACAGCATTCGAGAGCGCAGGTGCAGTCAAAGTAGAGTGTGAGCACTCTCCCCGCTGCGATACGGCCGAAGGCAACGAAGAAACCGAGAAAAAGTTGGAGCTGGTCGCCTTCTCACCACACATACCATTTGAAGGAGACACGCTGCGATCTACCTTGCTCTCACAGATCGAATCTACGGCAAGCAAGATAGGGTCTGTGTACGCCTTCACTTATTTGGACAGTGCTTTCGATGGGATGATCAAGATCGGATATACGAGTAGATCAATCGATCTTCGTATGGACGAATGGGCGGATTGTGGTCATGGACCACCACATCTCCTAAAGTCCTTTAGCAACGTACGCTATCCGGAAAGAGTGGAGTTTCTGACTCATTTACAGCTGGTTAAGGACTGGCATGCGATGCGATGGTGCAAATATCATGAACGGTCTCACATCGAATGGTTTAAGACTAGTGTCAGTGCGGTGTCTCAAGTTGTCCAGGCCTGGATATCATGGATAGAGCGTGCGAATCCGTATGACAGGCGTGGTAATCTCAAGCCTTTCTGGCGAGGTATTATCGACTTCCTCTCCGAGTATGAGATTACGATCACGGCAGAGCTGATGGTGCAGATACAAGAGATCGAGGATGGAACCGTTAGTGTTGCTAGCTTCATTGATGATGAGTTACTGCGTAAAGAACGTTTGGATTTGGAACGTGTCTGTGTAAAGCAAGAGGAAAATTGAATGGCTGACCAAACATTGTTAGAAACCTATGCGTCGTTTCATCATTTCATTCTTAATAGCTATGCAATTTTATGCTTTTCCACATCGAACGACTACGTTGTGCTCTATGAGTCATGCATCCTACACATCCACCCCTGCCTTCACATTTGGGACTGATCGATGTGCCTTTCCCATGGCCTTTCTAGAGAGTCTTTGATGAAAGAGCTCGACTTCCATCTTGCACCAATCTTGAACTGGCACTCTATTTCCCAACTGTGAATGCTTAGTCGCTCGGAGATGTTGTAGAAGATGTCGGATTCCTCCGTGACCTTTGAGATGCAACATCGGTTGATTACCATATCCGTCTATTACGTCTTCTAGGGCACTTAGAGGGACTTTATAGGACTCGTCCACCCTCAAATACGATAACTTCGGTAGAGTTGTGAATCGCATTAACCTCCCTCCAAAAACATTCTCAGATAGCGGGTTTATGAACCTGAGCTGCAATGGATAGTGCCTTTTCGGGGGTTGGAGAAATTAGAAGGCTTTAGCCACTTTTAGTGACCCAGTGCAGCATTACTAAGGCAAGATCCACCTGTGGCTAACTGATTGAGGGAAGAAAGGCTATACCGTCATGATTTCTACGCAGCCCGGCCGCTCAGAGACCGGACCAAGGGCCAGGGTCATGTGCTGGCGGATTACTTTTGTGACCTCGTTGGAAAGCATGAGACAGAGCTCTTCACATTCGGTCTCGCTTCGAAATCGGTAGGCTCGCCCTCCCACGCTGCTGCGATGAGATGGCATATTCGATGATCAGAGTGTGCTTATAATCTGTCATGAAGGTGGTTGATCACTTTCTGGATTATCATTCGGAATGGAGGCGACTAAGGCTCGGTGGTTCAGCGATGCAAGAGCGGACCCAGTAGATTGCTTACCACGAGAGAAACAGCATGTCAGAGCGCGGTAGCTTAGTGCCAGGCAGCAGCAAAGCGCATGATTGCGGCAAAGCTCCTACAAGCTTTCAGACTGCGCTAAATCTGCCCACGGGTAATGTCAGACTAACGTCCTGCACGGGGACACGAGACGCACAGTGTAGCGAGACAAATCATAGATACTTTCCACTCTTCCTTACATGTACTTTCTACCACGCCTAAGATCTAGAATCCTAGGGTGAAATAATATACTTTACTATCTTCAGAACATGCTCCAGCCTTTTAAGCCCAAAATTATAGGGCTTTCAAATCTATCTAGACTAACCAGAATCAGTGATGCTAAGGCTAAGAATGAAGATCACCTAATGTGCAGGTATACACGATGACTTTATCTATTTTTTAATAACGGCTATGCGATAGGTCGCTTCTATTAATCCTCTTAATAGTATTGGCTAGCCCCCCCTAGCCCTACAGCTACTGTGTCGTGCAAAGAGTTGTAATATAGCGACCCCTATTAGTACCTAGAACTATAAGCGACTAATCTTCTACTAGGGGCATTAGTACCAACTTAGTATTATATGTTATAATATGTCTTTGTTAGCTTTATCAGCC